CAAGGACGTTGATTCGGGTCCGTTCCTCGTCACTGCGTTGCTGCATCGATACAACATTATCATCATAGCCGTCATACCATGGTGCGTTATTCCTCAAGCATCAGGCACCAAGCAGCGGGTACCAAGTTCCAAATTCGCTCCCTCCCTTCCAAGCCAGACACCTCCACACCTCCATATGTATGTATGTTGGTACGAATAGAAATAGACCTCGATACTAACACCAACACACAAGAAAAAGACAGGATGGTGGGACACGACGGGATGGGGCTCGGCAGGATAGGAATCGATAGAGGACGATAAAAAGAATAAAGATAAAAGATAGATACCCTAAGGAAGTAAACAGCGGCAAGCCACTGAGTGAGGCGTTGATTCCAGCTCCAATTCCATTTCTGGGAGCAAGCGATGAAGGTTTCTTATTTCTCACCCATCCATCTCCTCTCATACCTCTATGGAAAAGAAACGAAAGAGACTCAAAAGAAAGAAAAAAAAGGGAAAACAAAGACAAGGCAAGGCAAGACAAAACGAGAAAGAGGCGGAACAGACAAGTTTCATCCCGATACGGACAGAGTACGAGCATTGACATGTACTACTAGAGCGCATAGTCCTCTGCACATCCCAATGATAAAAGCCTGGCTTGCTGTTTGCTAATGGCGCACGCCCCCCAAAATGAATCCCTTTCGCACGCTATGCTTCCGAGCTGTGCTGTATTTAAAGCTCCGACTGGACTGGAATAAGGAGACCGCTTTGATACGGCCCTCCCCCTTTGAATACCTTTCTCTCACTCCTTTGAACGCCTCTCACTTCATCCTTCTCATAACATGTTATCGCCTGAACTCCTCTCTTGACGCTGCCCCAGACGAGACTACACTCTTCACCTTGATCCTCGCCGGGTCCTTCTTTGTCGATTAAGGGCCGACGAAAAATTTACAAGCTTCAATAATATCAGGATCGTCGTTGGCAAAGTCCCACCCGACAATTCTGCTGTCTTGTGAGCAACACACAATTTGGCGGGCGTCGAATTGCAATTTGAACACGCGAGAGACGGGTAATTGGTTTGCAGCGTTCGTGGCATTGGCGTCTGAATTGACGGCGGCAAGTTGGTTATTGCCTGGAGCTTGAGCTTGGTTTGCCTGGGGCTGGGGTTGTTGGGGTTGTTGTTGAGCTAACTGTTGTTGTGCCGCGGCAGCTGCGGGCGACGGTCCTGTTGGAGGATGAGGAGGAGCAGGATGATGTGGAAGTGGGTTTTGTTGCTGTTGTTGCTGTTGTTGCTGTTGTTGCTGTTGTTGCTGTTGTTGCTGTTGTTGCTGTTGTTGCTGTTGTTGCTGTTGTTGCTGTTGTTGCTGCTGAGAATGGGATTGGCCATTTGTCGATGGTCCAACGTTGGCGTTTGACGACTGCTGATTTTGTGCTTGCTGTGACCGTGCTTGCATGATTGCACTCTGCACAATTTGAGAGACAGCCTGCGCCGCTGTAGCTTGTGCCAGTGGTTGCGCACTATTCCCGTTCATCGCAGAGCTAGAGCTGAAGCTGCCAGTGAGGTTTAGACCGTTCCGCGGGGCACCAGGGCCGGCCGATGCATTCAGCACTCTCCCAATGTTCATGACGTTGGAAAGGCCGGCACCCAGGCCAGCGATCGATGTCCCCATTGCTTGCGAGACAATCTGTGATGCCGTAGCGAAAGCAGGATGTGGAGGCTCGGCTTGCAGTATGCTCCTGATAGGCGGCAGTTGGATTGGTTCAGGCGGTAGCGGCGCTGCAGGTTGACCCGTGGCAGGAAGAGCATGCATTGCTGCTGGCGGATGGTTTTGCACAGCAGCTTGACCAGCGGCAGCGTTGTGTCGGGGTCGAGAGTTGGTGTCTTGGTACTGGGACGGCGGCTCTTGACGCAACATTTGTCCAATAACCCAATCGCCCGCAGAATTCTTACGCCATATGATGATCGTCTCATCGTACGAGCCAGAGACGATCCGGCCCCACTTGCTGCCACCTCCACCGGGAGGTAACCTAGAGCCAAGGGCGAGTCGCGACGTTCCAGCAGGACCAACCCTGAGGCGCCGATTGTGTCCTCTATCTTCAACAATAATACCATGGACAACGTCTTCAAGGTATTTTCTCTCAGCCTCTCTGGCTTTGGCCGGATCATCCTCGTCACTTCCCGGTAGATCACCAAACCCCGCTTGCACGGTCCGCACAAGATTAGTGTGCCCTTTAAGCTCTGCAACCTCGGCGCTGGTATAAGGGTCATATATTCTCACAGTGTTGTCACTACTCCCACTCACGATTCGTTTGCTGTCAAACTGGACGCAAGCGATTCCCTTTTGATGTCCCTGTAACGTTCGTAGCAGCCTTCCGTCCTTGGCATTCCAGACTTTAATGAGCCTGTCGCCGGACGCAGACACGATGAGATCACCGTTGATCTGGATCGCGTTAACGGCGGCACTGTGCCCTTCGAGGGTCAGGAGAAGCATGTACGGTTTCAAAGCTCGGATCTGGCCGTTGGCGATCCTGGCTTCTAGCAGAGACGGCTCCATGTCTGCCGTGTTGACGATGTATGACGGCGCCCGTGCTTGACTGTCGCGTCTAATCTCAGGATAGTCTTTATCCGTAGCGACCAAGGTCTTTCTGTTCCAAATTTTAATGCGTCGATCTTTTGAACAGGTGACCAAATACCGATGATCGAATCTCAGGTTGAGAACGGATTCTTCATGCGCGGAGGGGATTTCGTGGATCTTCTGGCCTGTTGAGAATCGCCAGATGATGACGCTGGCGTCGCTGCTGCCTGATATGATGACATCCTCTTTCTCTGTTGGGTCGAATTGGAGACATAGAACAGATTGAGAGTGGCCAGTTAGAGGCTTCCCCTTTAAGCGACGGGTCTCAAGATCCCAGATTCGCAACGTCTTGTCCCGACTGCCACTTACCAACCATTTCCCATAGAATTGGATGGTATAGACACACTCGGTATGTGCTTCCTGAGGATATGACGGATGAGGGAGTTGGAACGTTGTATATCGACCCTTGGTCCAGTTCTGTTCCAATTTCTGGCGCTGCTTATACAGATGAATCCAATTCACTTTCTCCTCCCCGTTGCTATCATAGGTGACAAGTCGCGACTTGATTGGCGGGTCGAGGGAGTGGACGGCTCTGCTCGCCGACCGAGCGTCATCGCCGTTGACCGCGTCCGACGAATAGTCCATCTCATCGCCCGAATCCTGACTATGTCTCTTATTCGGCCGCTGTGGAGAGTTATGAATGCTACTAGGAGCATCCTGCATTTCTTGGTCATCGGTCGACTCGGATTGCATGTCTGTGTCGGCCTCTATCACCCCATGCTGCTCGCGCCACTGAGATACGTCCGCAGAGACTTTCCGACCTCTTGACTCCAACCAGTCAGAGGTTGCTCGCTTCTTCAGCTGGGGTTGGCCTGGCAGCTGCGCTCTTGCCTTTTTAAACTCTTGCCGCATGAGTGCGCTTTCAAATTGCCTAACCTCCTTTGTGTCTATACCCCATCCCTCCTTCTTGTAAAGGTCCTGCCACAACATAGTATCCATGATACGTGCCCTCCATGTCTTTGACGCCAGCGACGCGGTCAACAGGGTCTCGGCATCCAGATAGGAAAATATTTGTGACGTGATCTCCGGGGGCAGTTTCTCCAGCGGGTCAATATGCAGGAGCGGCGTCAGCCTCTCAACCACGGCCACGATGTTAGAGGTCCGTAGTGTTCGTAAAACTTCGTATGCAATCTCGGCACGGGCCTGCTCATTCTGTGCCATGACCCATTCTTGAAAGCGGGCAGCTGTGGCCGCAGACATGCGCCCATGCTCGTCCTGACTCGAAGCATCTTCAGAGAAGCCCTCGTCTAGCCGAAAAGGAGCCATTGTAGAGCGAGGAAAAACAAGAGGAGCGGGCGGTTCGAGGTGTTTCTGGCTAAAGGGATCTATAAAATCGGAATCGCCTGTGATTAGGCGCAGAAGCGTGTCAGTTTCGAGAGGCGACCGCCAGGTTCTATTACAGTTGCAGGGACGGACCAGGAGATGAAGTAATGTCAACAGCTGCAGCGACTCATCAAGCAGTTTGTTCCCCTAGCAGCAGGAAGCAAGGTTCGAGGTCTCGTGGTACAGAGATTAGGCGAGGGGTTGCATGTGTCGGGCGAACGTAACAGGTCAAGGATCGCAGGATTCGATGACTCGAAGGGAAAGGTGATTGGACATGGATGGTGGCAGCATGGCCTATTAAAGCTATATACCGCCCATGTGTAACAGCGATGCAATGCAGGGAGAAGAGGGCAAGGCCAAAGAGAGGGATCGAGGGATGTTGCCTAGCGGTGTCGAATGATGATGTAGTCATGTAAGTTTGCGACGGCCGATCGCATGTGGTTTGTTGTTGGCATGAAGCAAACAAGGCGGCGAGAAGCGAGAAGCGGCTAAAGACCGGGCGAGCAGGTAAATAGACCTTGACCCGACCGCTGCCGCTTTTAAACACCCCCCACCTCCCACTCACCTTTCACTCTTCAACGCTTCGCCTCTTCTCTACTTAATAATGACTTCTGCTTCTACGCTAGACTAGAACATCGCGTTAATAGACGCGTAGGTCTTAGATATAGATGAATTCTTTCGTTTTATTAATTATAAATGCATCCTTAACTTATCTTAAGAATATTAAAGATAATATTAGGATCTAAGCTACGCAGGAGGTAACTACGAGCTGAAGTTGCTGAATGGCAAATGCCTTATTCTGTTCACGTAGTCCTATTGACGACGACTCAACGCTTGAGAAAGGAGAAGAGGAAACTCTTATAGTGTAACAGAGCACTTCAGGGTTCGGCATGCACGTGCACAACGCAAGAGGCCTGTCCAGCAGGTTGGGAATCGAGAACACGTTTCTGGTTGACGCTGACAGGGCAACACCGCCACCAACACCACCCCGATTGAGGCAGCGGCTAGGGCAGTGAGCGCCTAGCACGGCGACGGTATTGAGAAATAGGAAAGGGCCGATGAAACTCAGGAATAGGTAGACGGCATCAAAAACATGGAATACTTTGTTAAACTGTAAAGAATAGCACACTGCCAGCACTGTGAACTCTTCAGCACTCCCCCTTGGCCCATTTTTGGTCCTATATTGCCGAGGAAGAGGCAGGCAATGGTCGCCCATACCCCAAAAGCAATACTGGTATACCGCACGAACTTGAGGGCATAGGCATAACCCCAGCGGGCCCCAATAGCAGCTGCTTCCAACACGGCGGGCGTGACGCCAGGAATTTCGGTAGCGGCAGCGGGGTCCAAGGCGAATGCCTCCGCGAAGGTTCTTGCCGATGCGATGGGTAGGCCGGATTGAATTACTGCCTCGGCGACTTTTATCGGAAGCTGAACGACGAGCTTGTGATAGAAGATGTTGTAATAGATGCTATAGCCGATGGAGCCTCCAACCACACGGATGGACAGCGACAGCGCCACACAGGTGGCAATCAATTCGTCTGGCCTGGGTAGCTGTTAGGGTCAATGTGAATATGCGCCGGATGAGCACTCTCAGGCTCCACTTACACAACAGTGATGGCAATCGTGGCAGCTGGCTCGAGGACACCCCCGATTCCGATGCCAGACAAAACCGCGAACGCATACAGTCTGCCGGGGCCGTCTGGAGTTCCACCTGTCAAAGCTCCGCCAAATGCCGTCATCAGAACACATGAACCGACTAGGAGTTCTCGATTGTATCCTTTCAACCATGACAACGCTGCGTTCACAACGGTAGCGCTGCAAGTCACACCAAGCCCAGCAGCGAGGGCCTTCAATCCGACTTGTACGGGATCCGGTGGAAAGACGGTCGACACCTCCAGCGGAAAGAAGTTGAGGGACGAATAGAAGTTCATCCCGCCGACGAAAGCTACCAGGAAGGAGACTGCGACGATATGCTGGCCTTGTAAAAGCTAGCGTGGGACCATGGCATTTCGAGCAAATTTATACTCCCACACAACGAAGGTGAAGGCGAGCGCGATACCAATTAGAAGGTTGCCAGGAACGTAAGCAGACGACCGGGTATGTGAGTAGCCTCACACCGGGAGAGCCGCGAGGCTGTCAAGTCCGTTAGTTGATAGGCTCGCGGTGGACATTGCGCCACTTACGAAAGGGTCAGCCTGATGTTTGACAAGAGGCTGCCCACGTAGTCAATGCTCTTCAGAATCTGCATTTTGGTAGCTCCATCACCTCTCCTGGTTGCCCGCGGAAAGTAGGTCAGAGCAATACCCATAAAGCAAACGCCATTGTAGATCCTGCTTTGAATGTTAGCTTAGAACGGTATCCGTCTGTTTGTTGTCTGTACTACTGACAGTGAGATCCTCATTCCCCATCTCCAAGTGTAGTAGGTGCCTAGGAGCTAGCTATACATGACGTAGAGCACGAAAGGGGCCACAAAAAAAAAACGTAACGAGACCTAGATAGAGGCCTCGTTGCTTGACAGGAACGAGTTCTGCAGTTCTGAGACACAATACTGTCAGCCAGAACGCCACCCAGTACATGGTAGGCCTTGTGCACCCGCAAGAGCTGTGAGCTCGCCAATAGCACCGCCCGCGCCGGCGAATGAGATGCCAGTCACCGCCTGGCCAAAGGCGTGGGAGGCGCCAACGAGGATAATTCCAATCATAATAGCCACACTTCCAATCAAAGACATGTAGCGACGTCCCGAAATATCCTGCAGGTATCCTAAAAATGGAGCAATTGAGGCAATCGCCAGATCATTGGCCACCGTAAGCCAGGAGGCTTTCTGGAATGATCCAATGTCTCTTGCTATGAACATAACGGAATCCCCGACAAAGCAAAGAGGAATTTGGGCGCCTTTCGGAAGGTTAGCCACTCTCTAATTTCCCTCTTTCTTTCTTTCGACTCCGGGACAGTACATACCAACGTATAACCCAGCGAGGGACAGAGAGGCGATAATATGTTTCCCAGTCCATTCGATTGTCCCATCCGAGTCATCACCTTTCACAGCATGGGCGTTGTCGTCCGTGTCGACGCGCAGAGCCTCGACTTTCGCTTTGGCGGTTTCTACCTGCTCCGAAGACGGAGTTCTGGAATCCAGGTGGGTTGCCGTTGTTTTCTCTATTGATGAACGGTGACCGAAATGTGGATATGACAGGAATAGTGAAGTGCAGAGAGCAGGAAATGTCTGGAATGTCCAAAACATTTGTTATATTCGCTGAACACCGACGAGCAATCTCCCAGTATCTCGAACATACAGAGGCAGGCGCTCCCACATTTTCCCCATATACTCTGGCAACGTCTGGGATCCGGAGACGACGTCCCTGTTTGTTGATTCCGATTGCATGTTTCGAGGCGTATACGGGTCGAGTTAAGCTGTTCTCGAATTGCTGCAAAATCTCACAGAACATCGCGAGATAACGCTCCATGAGAGGGCAAGTACACGTAAGGGATGGACGTCTGACATTAACAACTTGACTCGGCTAACCCGACGGTCCTATCCAAGGTGTGAACATAATCTCCTGAGACATAGGAAACCCCAGCCACTCATATTAGGACGTCTATAGCTTCCTGGTGTTCTCGTCAACTATTTGGGTCCGGTGATGTGTTCCCAAGTCCCACTCCACGTCCGGCTTGCCCAATCCACAATGCGGAACATCATCATGTCTCTTCTCCTCCATCGCTACAATTGGAGTCTGCCTTTCTGTGCGTGTATCCAGGTGACATTGTTAGAATCAAGCACTGGGGTGGCTTCTCGGCATGAGAGGAAAGAACTTGGGTTCCCAGTAGCACAATTGAACAAAACCGTTCTCGGGGATTGTGGATGCTGCTTTGGTCCAATTAGCAGCTGGAAAATGAAATAAATGGCCCATTCACGCCCACTCTAACTACCGAACTCTCTTACGCACTCTGAATCCGACTTGCTGACTCCGCTAGCCTCACCTTATCGGGCTTGACAGGGATGCCGAGTATTTTGACACGTTAAACACAAGCAGCGCCCCTCTTGCATCGAAGGCCTTGCAGATTAAGGGTCTCGGCTCCCACGCGGGGCGATGCTTTGCCGACACGGTTTATGTGAATGAGCCAGACCTAATATAGGCGACGGACTTGAAGAGTATTCGGGATCTGGCGATGTCGTAGACTCGGATGCCTAGGACCTTGCTTGAAACCTGCCTGTACGCAACTAGCTCGCCAGCCGATTCCCCTACATTGAAGTTCGGCCACTGAGGAATAATCATCCTGGAGAGACATAAAGACAGAGAGGTTGACGCGGGCGAGATAGAATACTAGTTATTTCTCTCGAGTCCCAACTTGCCAATACCCACGGCAGACATTTGTGTCCACTGAAAGGTTGACGTTCTCTGATTAGCAGCTGTCGGTCTTAGAAAGCCCGACTCGTCATTTCCCCCATGACGACAACAACTGCGTCGTCTCGGTCTGACCCCAGAATGAGAGAAGCCTGGGGTTACCGTTTCCAGTGGACAGACCATCACCAGGCACCAAATCAATATAATCATCTTAAGTACATGTGTGATACACTTGCAGAAGAATGTGTTACGATCTTGAACGAGGTACCATTCTCCGAATCTCGAAGTGAAGGAGAGGGCGAGGCTCCTCTTCGTCAGTCCCAGAGCAAGAGAGACCTCTACGCGCTCTTCTGCAGCCACCATCATAAAAACGACAAGCTCCAACAGCTCTGGGACCAGGTGAACACCATCCCTGAATGGGTGGACTGGGACCAAATTGCCCGAGGCCAGGATGTGTTCTACAGATACGGGGAGGCGAACCTCACTGGCCTGACCTACCAATCCCTCCTGGGAGGTACAGCAAGCAGCAGGGTGACAGAGGTTCTTGCTCGGACCGGAGGATTTAGCATCAAAAGCGTTTGGCGTCGACTGCTGGAGACGACTCAATTCATTCTAGAATGTACGAACGACCTCGCGTCCATCAAACCGGGCGGCGATGGCTTCGCGAGCTGTCTTCGAGTTCGGTTCTTACACGCTACCGTCCGTCAACGCATCCTACAAATCGCGTCTCGTCACCCTGCCTACTACTCGGTAGAGAAGTGCGGCGTCCCGGTCAACGATTTGGATTGCATCGGCACCATCGCGGTCTTTTCCGCCACTATCATCTGGCAATCGTTGCCTCGTCAGGGCATTTTCCTCCGTCAGCAGGAGATTCTGGACTACTTGGCCCTCTGGCGGCTCGTGGGTTACTACATGGGCACTCCGACAGAGTTTTTTTCCACCCCCGCAAAGGCCAAGGCCATCATGGAATCGCTGTATTGCTATGAATACACACCATCGGCGATGTCCAGGTTGCATGCCAACAATATTATCTGGGCGGTGGAGAACACACCTCCTTCCTACGCGAGCCGCTCGTACCTGGAAGCCAATGCACGCTGGCTAAACGGGGACAAGCTCGCCGACGCTCTGGAACTTGGTCGCCCAGGTATTTACTATCGGATGCTTACTGCTGGTCAGTGCCTTCTGTTGATGATCACCTGTTACACGTGTCGGGCGATCCCACCACTTGACAGACTCCGGATCAAGTCCTTCCGTCGGACTGTCTGGTCAGTACTTAAGTCCCCAGACACCGGCTTGGAGAGCTTGACCATATTCGAATTCAAATACGTTCCCAAGTTCGAGACTGATTCGAAAAATCAGGTCGCTGGTGCTTTGGAAGACAAGAGGCCCAAGGTGTTTTGGACGGCAGAACGTAGAATCTGTACCACGTTGGTTTTCATGGCAGTTACCTCTCTCATTGGGTTGTGGACATTTGGGAAAGCGGTGTCCTGGACATGGAGGATGTTGTATCCAGGCATGGGACTGGGTTTGGGAAGTGGGTGGCCTCGTTTGCGCTTTTGGAATCGAGCATGGACAACTTGATCTTCTAGGAGTGAGCATAGGTAGCCAAGCGCCCTGCGGGCAAAGAAACCTGTCGCGCCGAGAAATATTTCGAGATTCTTCAAGGCCAGACATTTGTGAAAAATTTCAAGTATATTCTTACATAAACCGTCTCCCCTTGTCCTCGTATTCCGTCAGTGAGTCCTTGGTAAGTTTGATGAATTTTCCAGATAATTGCTCTCGAGCAGGACAGAACCAGAACAGGTTTCGTACTCCAAACTGATTCTTCAAAAGGGATCGGTCAAGACTGACAACGGGTACCCGTGCCAACCTAACACTAGAAGGGTTTGCCCAAGTTTGAAAGTCAAATGTTTTTATTAAGCTTTACTTCTCCTATTACATGAGCCAACTATAAATCCCGGGGCCTCTGCAAAATATAAAAACGCATTCCTAGAAACTGAGGGTTCTTTTTTCACAAGCTCCCTCATATTTGACACACAGGCCTCTATAGACGCGCAAATACTTGGCATTCGGTCGAGGGCCAAAACAGGTGATCACAGCCTCGTTGAATTTTAGACTTGGGTCTTGAACTGCTCCCATAGTGCGCTGCCAGACATGGTGACGCCGTTCACAGTGCCTTCGATGTCGCCGATCCACCGTGTATAGAGTCCGATGTCTATCTGGGTGGCTTTTTCTGTCACGACGGCATTCAAGGTGCTGCCGTCACTTAGGGTCATGTTGATGGTTAGCTGAGTGGGATTCGCGGTGAGCAAGGTCGGGGGATACGGCGTTCCGACCGGGCGGACTTTCAAGCCCGTGGTGCAGGTCGAGCCCACGACTTCGCCGTCCTTCAACACGTAGCCGCCGACTTTTTCTTCGTTGTTGGGGTCGAGCATATCGAAGAAGACGATGTTGTAGTCGCCGAATGTTCCATGGCCCCAGTACCAGCTATTCAAGGCAGAGATGAATGGGACATCGCCCCAGTTCTGATATTGGACATCATCTTGTTAGAGCCTCGCAAATCTCGATCAGGACACACTCGAGGGGAATAAAAAAAGCCGTGTCGAACGGGTTGAAAACACACCTTGTCATGATAGCCATTCCCGGAGAATTTCAATGGTTTGCCCAGCACCTTCACGTCCACCTCAGCATCAGCGGCAGGCATGACATTCACCCAGCCGACATGAGGTAGCACTTCCTCTGGCTGGTCTCCCTCCAAGGGACCACATACGTAGTGCCCTGGCCCGCGCTGAGTTTGTCTAAGTTAGCTCACAGCATGTGAGAGCGGTAGGGAAGGGGGTGCAGTACTTACGGTCTTCAAGGTAAAAGTTCCCTCGATGCCCAAGTTGAGTAGCGTCTTGTCGAATGTGAGGGTGTATGTGCTCAAATCAGGGGAACCTTGGAAACTGATTCCACTTCCAACCCAGTCACCGGAAGCGCCATCGCCGACTGTGTCGATCGTCACCGAAGTTGCGGCGACGGGAAACGAGATGGGCGTTCCTGACCCAGTATTGGCAAAAATGTAGACGTTCAACGGGTCGATTGCGTTTAGGAGGTCAAAGCTGAATCCGAGGTAAGAAGACGTGAAGAAGATAACGGTGAGCGCCTGGGTGCCGTCGCCCGAAACCGCGTCAAAGTACCACCAGTCAAATGTAGTCGCGTTGATCGGAAAGACTCGAGGGCCGTCCGCTCCGCTGTCACAAGAGGTGAATTGGACCTCGCTTGGGCCTGGATAGAGGATTGGAGAGAATGAGAGCGACTCCGCCGGGCATTGGGCGCCGCCCCGGCGAGCCAGCGCGAGGAACACGCATGACAGGCTCAGGATGAGATTTTTCATGGTCGAATATGTTTGTCGATTGGTGTGAAGAATGCGTTGGGAAAAAAAATGTGTGTATCAGAAAGCAAGAGCAGAAGTGAACGAGTGAGATTGAAATGAGTGTGGTGATTTGATGTCTGCAATCACTATATCCTTCCTGACGGACCTACCTCTGTTTATATATGAACAATCCAAGGATGCAATGCAAGTGTACGCGATGCTAGCATATGTACCTCAGGACCTCCAGACTTGATGATTGAGAAACAATGCCTCCTTGCGGAGAATGAACCTTGCAAAGTCACCTGTGGCCTTGAAGTCAGGTTTAGAATCTGACACGGATGGATGGAATCCGCAGTTCGTAGAACGGAGGCGCCCAAAGTCTTGGTGAAATTGCATCTCTCCTCGCTCGTCTATTCCTAAGTGTTAGAACGTGAGTGGCAATGTTGTTGATTGTAAGCGAAGTTATCTGGTTCTGCAGGTGCATGTTGTATGAGTAAGGGATTCTGGAGGGCCTAGCCTTCGGGTCCTCCCCCCATGGCACTGCCTAGAATTCTACCGGGTAGCAGGCGGGTAGTTAGCGAGGAAAAAGGGGGGATGACTGGGGGCAAGGCTTAAGGGGTTGATGGCTAGACGCTTTGGCCAACCGTGGTTGGTGGACAGAGAAGTGGTCAATGGTCATTGGCGTTACTCGGTACAGGGTAATTAATGTCGATCGCCGAGTCAGTCTTTCCGAGTCCACTGTGACCAAGGTTCCAGGTACATACAAAACAACGGCTGGCAGCGAACGGAACATTAAGCTTGCCGCTAATTCAGGAACATTCCTGTTATCTTTTATGCAAACAACCTCGGCCTCAACATCAGGAGCAGAATGACTGGAAGAAACACATCGTATGGGAGACTATTCTTGTGCCCATCGTGGCTGGGGCCGCGGGGTAAAATGCTTCATCATGCTGTAAAAGCCCGCACACGGCGGGTTTTGTTGCTCTAGTGTGCATTACTTCAATCTTCCCAAATCCTGTAATTGCCGTGGGATACTCATGAATAGATCTGACGCAAGCATCAGGTAGAATGCTCATGAGATAATTTCCGCGGCTCTCGCTTTCTCCTTCAACGGCCGGAGCCGCATCTCTCACCAAGGTAGACACCGCCCTGAGGTCGGAAATCTGGACCTTGGAACCTCTACAGACCGTTTTATTTATTGCCTCTGCACGCCGGACTGCTCGATTACCGCCTACAACGACCATGGCCCAAACTTGGAGACTGTGGGTCGTCTCACTCTGGAAAGATTGGCAACTGAATCAGAGTGCCAAGTTCAGCCGCAGATGCAGTAGCGGTATTTATGGAGCTTCCACAGCATCAATGACATATGGTCCAAATAGCGAACGAAAGGAGACAGCTCCCCATTCATTCTCCGCACGAGACATGCCGCGTTCATCGTGAGCCCAAGACATAGAATCGCGGACTTCGGCATAGGTGATCGGGCTCACCATGACACAGTTTTGAGCCGCGGGGTGGGGAGGGCGACCAGGTCGAAAATTATAGCCTAGTCCAAATATCGCAAGAACTAGAGGTTCTCTGTCGACGTGATTCCCTCCCAAGCACCATCCCAAGAGACATCTTGTTGAAGAGTCTCGGAAGGAAGGTTGCAAGACAGGGGCAGAGTTCCCAGCCAATTGTCCTCCAAACCCGTTGCGGACTTGTCTGGCGATAGAGGAAGGTGGATTGACATAATGGGCGATTTGAAATACCATGATTCCAGACTTTCGTATGCCTCCGTAAACTCTTTGGAAAATGCGTACACGCCCGTTGATGGCTGATATGTGCATGTGTCTCGGAGGGTGAATGGCCATTTGAAGCCAATGTCGACGGCGAATTGAGCCGCCAAACTCTCGGGTGCGTAGCTGATGCCACTAATGATCAGATAGTCACGAACTTCGGGCCTATTACGCGGTTAGATGAGTGGGAGAGAAGATATCTGACGCCCCTCGAGCGAACCCACCACACGAAATAGTCGATCAGCCTCGGGTGGCTGACCTGCATCTGCAATGGACTGGCTTCCATCAGCGAAAGGGTATGATAAGGGGAGGAAGATATCTACCTGGGATTCATGAAGGAAGGGGGTTTTCTTTCGGGTGGAAGATGGGGATTGATCTTGGTCTATGCCTGGTTCAGCAAGAGTACACCAAGCAGAGCCTTGCGTCAGTACCATCAGCATTGCTCTCATGATCCGCAAAATAGCCATCCGCTCTACCGATCCGCTTCTGAAGAAGAGACCTTCGTCTAGGATTTGAAGTAATTGCCATCCAACATCAAAGGGATTTTTGGCTCTTGCAGCATCCCATCCGTGTAACACGGCCCTAATACTGGTGTCATCGTCAACGTGTGGGCCGGAAAACAGGTGGCGTGCGTGGTTGCTTTCGATCGTCACCAAAGCATGATTGAGCGCCCCGAAATAATCGCGGCCTTCGTTGCTACATTTGAGGTTCATCATGGGGTAGATTTTCTTCAATGACTCCTGGTTGGTATGCGGGACCGGTGGGAATGTCTCCGGAGCAAAACAGCCACAATATCCAGCAGGCACAGATGCCGTTGGGCTCGCAAGTGCAATCCCATGCGAACTGGAGTGGGATATATCTTTCGATGATCGGTTCTGAATGTCGGGACCTGTGCTAGCACAAGTGAAGCCTACCGCCCCATTTGCAATCTTCGCAATCCGTGCAATCACGCCCTTCAATCCCTCAATCTCGTCATACTGTTGTGCCATTTGTTCGGAAACAGCAGCACCGTTGCCAGCGAGCGCCTCTGTTAGTCTTGCCGTTGTGTTCTCGAGGTGCTCAATATATGCCCTGGTCCTCGCCCGGGTCGCTTGTTGAGATATTCGGTCACTCACCCGTTTTCGCTCACGACGAGTAGGGCTGAGAGCGGTTCGGCTGCTGGAGGAACCGTGTTCCGCAGTCGGTGGTCCATCCTTGCTTGCCATCTGGAGTTACAGGCTTCTGATAATCGGGAGAATGAAAACGCAAGAGCGCCCACGAAAATATCAGGTTTAGCAATTTCTCTGACGGTGAAGCCGCTCTGGGCGGTTGCACACGATTCTTTGAGTTAGAAACAGAAAAACGAAGGACGGTGAGGAAAAGAAAGTAGGAGGAGTAGTAGTACCCGACTAGCCTGGGGAATTTCTCAGTAAATTGCAATCAGGGAAACGGACGCGGGCCTAAGGGAGCCGTTGACCAAATAGGTACCACACCGTTCTACGGGGGCAGCTGGGGTGAACTAGCTGGGCTTCCTCGGGCCCCAAAGCCCTGAATCCTAGCCTGCAAGCCGAGGCTGAAGACCCCAGCCCTAACTACGTCATGCCCGGACGTCAGAATACCGAGTAGGCGGGCTAAAGTTAGGGGGGGCGTTGTCGCGTGTCCACGTGATGTGCGAGCGGCTCGCATCGCCCTGGCCATCGCACATGACAATACGGATAACCCTATTCCGAATTGAGAATCCCCGACACATCAAGGATCTTGATGACATGCCCGACCTATCGAAAGCAGATCAAGTCTGGAGACAGAAATGGACTTTGAAGAGGTCAAGATTCCCTGCTGAGGTTTGTGGTATTTCATCCCACCAACCACCACTGGCTGGCTCTTCTTCATAAAGCATGATATGGGCCTAGATAAATAGGATGACGGCACGGCGGTCTAGTCTGAAAGACGAGCTGAAGAGATTATCACAGATACGAGGATATATGAGGAATTGTGGAAGATAAAGATCATAGGTAAAGTGAACCTTGGTGGTGTTCAAAAGGCCTGACATTATTATCATCTTTGTTGTGGATTTAAAATAGCTTTTTATCTTCATGTCAGGACAAAAAAGACTAGCATCAATTTTGGCTGTGGACGAGAGGCTTTGAGGCAGAAGGGGGCTATTGAGCGTTGATCAACAACAGGACGAGAAAAACAACGTTGACAGCAGAGACAGAATGGCTGAGCGAACATGCCATCGCTGCAAGGAGCGCTTGACAGTTTACAGTGCTGGCCGTGTGCCATTCTTTGCAGTTTAAACAGAGTATTCTGTGGGTTTTTTGGTACTGCCGACCTATTGCTGAGTATCCCTTTTGTTCTTTTTCACTCCCCAACGCCGCCGCCGTGTTAGGCGCTCGTTACTCTAACCGCTGCCTCTCTGTGGGTGGTGTTGGTGGTGGTGTTGTTTTGCCAGCGCAGACCAAAAAGGCATTCTCGATTTCCCACCTGCTCGACAGGCCCCTGTGCGTTGTTGCACGTACATGCCAAACCCAGAAGTGCTCCGTTACGGTGGAAAGGAGTTAGCATGTGTAAAGATGAAAGAGGAACAGGAAATTTTCTCTATTAAATAGTTGCTAGTCTTGCCAAATATTACCAGCCGTATATTGCACAAAGTGGTCCTTGAAGTTAGTCTTGGTGGCTGGGTCAAGAGCGGTTGTCAGCACTTTTGGGGCTTTAAGTGGAAGGATGGACGGGCCCTTGACTCAGCAAAATCTTCGAGCAAACGGCCCCGGAGGACGACGAAATGGTAAGAAGCTCTCTGTCTTGGGCACGCAGTAAAGGTACCAGCGGCAACCCAGAATTCCATGCAGGAGCTGTCGCATCAAAGCTCCTAGACAAAGAATTTACCGAATCGCAGGTGAAGAGGTGAAAGGCCTCCAAGTATATCACTGATGAGCTGCGATTCTCTCATGAAATCGATGCCGTATGTGACTCAGCGCAATATTTAGAACCATCCCAGCCGTCCTGCTCGTCGATAAGCTCCATAGCCAGAGTTACCATATGTCATTAGTAATTGTTCAACATCCTACTCATCTCCTCTGCGTCAATCACCCTCCCATCCTCTTCCATCGTGAAGTAGCCCTCACGGGCCCAGTTTATAATTGTGTCTAGAGTGGTCCTGTATGCGGTCACCATATGAACTTCAGTTCACATTTGGCTGACGTCGAGGAGTAGGGCCACACATCCAAGGCGTATGGTGGGAACCCTTCGTGTCCCTCCTGACTTGCTAGAGCCAACTCTTTGCGGTCAGAATTTGTATGGGTTTTCGGTTTGGCCTTCCTAAAGCCCTCGCCAAGTGGATGAGCCCCATCGGCATGCTTGCTTGTGTTCGCAGATAAAATTCGGCTTGCGAGGAGTCCCCGAATTGCGCCATTGGGAAATACAGACAACCTAGGTGAGGACTGAAAGGATCTTGACCCGGCAGGCAATATGAAAGAAGTGTAATAGAACACAGACGGGAAACTGCCAAGTCGCAGAACGACTAATACCCGTTTTGCCAAGATCTTGGAGGGAGTTGTTATGACATCGCATCGATCGTACGGTTCTTATTTTGTACGCGAGTTTTACTCGTATTCACATGTCACTCAACGCTTGTCGTCGAATTTTGTTGTCCATGGAACCCTGCCGATCACATTTACAGATGTATCTGCAGGCTCCTCTCTGGCCAATTTCGGGCAAGGGGGATAGCTTTCCCGCTATGTCGTCCATGGTCTATGACGTCTTGATATCATACCATAACTTAACTATCCGTCTACCCTTGTGTCTTTACAGAAAAGCAACGTACGGCCAGCCATTGGTAAGCACATCTGTGTCCACTATAACAAAATTAGACTGTGTGGAAACTACTGTCTCTTTCTAGTTTACCGGAATTTTCACCGACTACAACATCATATAAGTTGGCCTAGATTTCAGACCCCGAGATAACCTGCTTCCTCATAGTCGCGGTTCAAAAGGCACAGCATTCCTACTAAGCTGCCAATATGCTTGCGCGGCCATGCTAGAGACTCCCTCCATTCTATCTGGTCTTCAATCTGATCCCCAATGTCCTCCAATAATTTCGACCCCCAGCCCCTCAAAAACCAATAGATTCTATCCAATGCATTCACGAAGACGGATATTCTGACCGTCTTTGGCTAGCTGGTCCTGCAAACCATGCCGCACTTCGTTACTCAGCGCAATCTCTATGAAGCCCGCGAGCGCCTCTCCAAGACCTATGATTGGAATTTCTTCATGCTCGCCCAAATCATCGTCGAATTGCCATGGAATAGTTTGATGGCAGTCATTATGTTCGCCTGTTGGTACTGTCCAGCTGGGTTGCAGCGAAATGCTATCGGAGCGGGGCAGCAGACTGAACGTGGAGCGCTCATGTTTCCCCTTCTGTTGGAGTTCATGGTGTTTACCTCTACCTTTACCGACATGATCATTGCAGGGTTTAACACGGCCGATCCTGGTGGTGTAAGGGAAGGCGATTTAGAAATAGACAGATCGATGAAAGTATTTAGCAGTAATATCCTTCGTATACTCAGCGTATCTACAGAGACTCAAAGCCTTAAAGGGGCTTTTGAGCAGAAAAGGGGAGAGGGTGCGGCTCTTATACGTTCCTCACCCGTTTAGCGTCTTGGCTTCTTTGCTGTGTTTGTTATGTAGGGCTCAGGGATAATTATAGGTATCCTAATATATCACCCCCGATGTAAGTATGCGTTGTGACTTCAGCGCAGCCAAAAAAGAAAGGACAAAGTAGCCAAAGCTTCCTAAACCCCTATATCGCTTAACTTAAATCGGTCACGAGACACAGGGATGACTTAATAAGTGGGAGCAGTATCAAGTTGTCACGAACCTAGCGTTGCCCCCAAGTAACATAAAGCCATATATATTGTTTCGACCAAAATATGGGTTTCCTAACTACCAAGTCGTTTCCTATGCAACTATGAAAGGGTATCAAAGTCCGGTGCAGAATATAGAAATAGGAGGCTCAGACGACACGAATATCCCGTCCCGGTGACTTGTTTGCGCACTCTCATATCTGTTCATTCGCCTCATGATCACTGTCGTGGCTCCTGCTCACCCTCAAACATTATCGTTATCATCACCGGTCCTTCTTGGTTTCCTCATCCTCGGTCGTTGGAGTCATCCGTTCGTCATCAGCCATATCCCAGCTACTTTCCGTACCCGTCTCCGCCCCCTCGCTTTCGCGCTTCCGCCCTCGTTCACGCATTGCCCCACGAATTCGCTTGCTAACTTCATCATGGTCCAGCGTGGTGAATTTCAGGTTGGTGGCCGAGGCAAGTGCTCCGCCAGCAGAACTACTCCTGCTGCGACTCTTGGGTGTCGTGGGTCGTGACGCAAAGAAACCAAATCCCCCAATATTATGAAAGGCTTCGTTCGAGGGCAGAAACCCAAATGGTAACATTAATCTCGAACCGGGAGACTCAGCGGTTCGCTCTTCGAAAGCACCAGAAGTCGGTGTCGTTGGCTCGGTTGAGTCCATTCTGGGTTCGTCCGGCATCTTCTTGTATTTGGATTGGTAGGCTCCTTCTCTATACGCATCCGGCACAACCCGAGCAGCGTCGAAGTCGGGGAAGACCTCGGGTCCCAATTCATTAATCACTCTCGTCACCTTTTCGGACAAGGCCTGGCGGCGCTGTTGCAGCTTCGCAAATCGGCTTGAGGAGCGTGGATTCAGCGCAACAAACAGTGGCGGCAACGACTTCACCACATCCATCCCTATCTCCCCAATCCTGAGAGCAGCAAATGTGAGGAGGATACACAAAATCAAAAAAAGAATGGCAAAAAGCCAGACCGGGACAAGGTCAGGCACATAGGTCCGGGCCACCATCCATGATGGGACTTTGTAAGTGTAGTATCCATCTCGTCGGTTGTAGATCAGCCACAGGGACACAATGATGGTATAGTAAGCGTATAGCGCCGGAGCGAACGCCATAGCCACGAGCAATTTCCACGTGGTAATGACATCCCGACCCTGCAGTTTCACCGTGGACGCCGCAAGAGCTTCCTTGGATTTTCGATAGGATATGACTTTGGTGGTAACAAAGACTGGCCAAAACATGGCCAGCCCGGGAAGGGTTCCAATGCCCAGGAAAAAGAGCTCCCCCAGTCGGTAGATCAGCGTCCCAAGGATGTGCCACCAAGGATGTTTGGCAGGGTTACCCCATTCCACTTGATGGTCCCGAACACCAAGTGCCCGAAGTTGGCGATTGTACTGGAGTACGTCTTTTTTGAGTTCGACAACGCGCGGGTCATCCTTGTACGTAGTATAGCCTTTGACTAGACGTCTGTTTAACTCCACCACCAGCGGCAGAGGCAGTTTCTTTCCCAGGGGATTGTATAGTCGGCGAGCCGCTTGCACCAGCATCAAGGTGTCGTAGTCAGGACTTGATTGTGTCACGGCAACCAAGCCCTGGAAGACTGTTTCCAGAAGTGAGCCAACCGCGTTTCTCCGGTCACCGGCTTTGTACGCTTCAACTTGCTCAGGATGAACTTCAATGGGATGACCAAACTCAATGACGGCCCTCGATCGGAACTTGTGCGCATGGAAATAATTCATGCCAATTGGAATGATCTTGACGCCGCAGCCGGGGTGTCGAGCTTCTGCTCCTAAAGCCATGATGGCCACGCCCGCTTTCAGAGGGAGGAGATCGGGCCGGTCATGACTACCACCTTCCGGGAAAATGCCAATACAACCACCGGCGTCGAGCTCGTCAAAGACTGCGTTGTAGACTTTGGTTTGGTCCACGTATGGAGCAACTTTGAATGAGCAGCCGCGAGACTCAATCTGCTGTTCGTTTGTCTCCCCACCAACGGTGCCAGTACTGGTCAAAGACTCCAACGCTTCTGGCGTCTTAAAGGGTTTCTTGAGCCGAATTTCAGTAGGGGAGATGATCTCTGCGATTTCCGTGCTGGGAGTTTGGCCCCTGACTTTGGGTAGGACAATTAAACCCCCTACCTCGAAATCGCCGTTGGTGAAGTCGGTCCCAACACCTTGAATGAGGGTAGGGTCGTTATCTTGGTCTGGGAGGAATATTTTGCCCTTCGCCGGTTTCACTTTGTCCAGGGCTCGGCCCACGGGAATCGCCCCTATCGCCGTGGACAGAGTACCAATGAACTTGCGTTTCGTCGACTTCTCAGCAATCAGATATGAAATCCTTCTCTTGGCCTCGCGCTTGAGGATCCTCATCAGAATTAGTGAATCGACGAACTATAGTATATTGTCAGTACTGCCGCCAATGAGACAAACTGGTTGCTGCATACCTGGTTGGCATGTGGTGCTGCCACGAGAATGACAGGGCCTGTTTTTGGGACCTTCCAGGCTCCCCTAGGATGGACTTCGCGAAAGAAGAGGTCTATCAGGATAGATAATGCCCATAGAACTAGATCATAAAGCCATGGTATTTGCAGCTGGTTGCCCTTCTTCTTGCCTCGCCCTCGTTGAGGAGCCCGGGACAGAGCTTCCCTCGACGATCCTGCCTGAGACGGCATGTCTTTCAGCTATGCGGGTGAAATTTTTCAAGGGAGAACACGGAAGGCAACGAGGAGGGTCACTCGATCGATTCAGCGACAGAATCCGTCGAACGAGGGTGGAGTGAGTCGGCCCATACACGGAAACGGGCTGGTTGGGGGACCTGAGGTCAAGATGGAGGACAAGATGGGAGGGTAGATGCCAAAATGGATGAATCAGATAGTAGTACAGGACGAAAGAAGAAGACTCATTACACAATTGACACCGGGATTGACGGAAAAGAGACTTGGAAGTTGGAAAGGCCAGGTGTTGGTGAGCACCAGGGGTTTTGCTGTTATGGCAATCAAGTGTTGAGAAAAACTGCGTGGGGCGAGAAGCTGCGAGAACAATTGACTGGGGATGGAATGAAGTCACCAGTGATTGTTTTTGGCGGCGATACCCGCGTTCTGGTTGGCGGGTGCCACGCCTAAAGCGCAATCAACCAATAACTTGGGCTTGTGAGTCCTGGTAGCCTAGGCGCGTCCCCCGGGGGGGAGGGTTGGGGAGGGGCACCAAGCATCGGGCATGAAGCGTTAGGCATCAGGCACCAGGCTCTGCTTCATCCCCAGGTGCCCCCACCATCACTGTCTTTCAACCAAGTCAGCCAACACTTGCAGTGAACCAGCGGGGTCGCAGCGGACTGCTGAAGCCTCGCAGCTCGAAGCCTTCCACCCGAATAATGGCTCATCTGGCGAACGTCGGAAGCGAATTGAATTAAGTAGCGACACAGTCCAATAGATACTTCATATTACTCGTATATCATCTCTCCTACCTCATTACTTGCAGTAGCTAGACGTCGCAAGTCATCCATCCTCCTCGCGCCCTGCTCAGACTGTCCTTGACAAATGCGGGCTCTTTCGATCGTCTTCTGGGCTTCTTCCTCTATCCGTCTCATGCGCTCCCGCAGATGAAAGTCGCGGTCTTTCCATCGTGATTCCCACAAGTCCTCCACCTGATGTCGGGCCTTTTCCAGCATTACCTCCACGTTCTCCTCCAGATTGCTCAGCCTTTTCTTTAGATCATCAATGATGAAATCTTTCGCTCGTAATTGCTGTCTCAACACAATATCCTTTTCGTTCAGTTTCTCCCGGAGCTCTGCCACTTGCCTGTCCTTAAAGAGGAGCGCCTTACGATGCGAAGAGTCCAGTTTCCGCATCATTCGCGCGTAATGGAGAGAGATGTCATTCTCATTATCCATGGGGAGAGGTGTGTCGCTCTCCTCCAGCGTCTCGCTCAACTCGAGCGGCTTCCCCCCTCTAGCCGACGACTCGCTGCTTCCTAGAGCACTGGCATTCTGAGTCGTGGCTGCTTTGATAGGAAACGGAAACCTTCCACATGCGTTTCTCCCAATATAATCAGGAGATCGTGGTTCACGATTGTTGGGCACTTCACCTAGAATTGCACCTGCAGATCGAATTTGAAGTGGGTGTCCTGGCGAAGTATTTGATTGCTGTTGCCAATACTGACGTCGTCGGTCTCCCCGTGAAATCTCGCTAGATGTAATAAGACGAGGCAGGCGCACCCTGTACGTCCTTCTCAATAGGGGCGATTCAGGCATCTGATTCGCCCTGGCCAATATGAGATCTTCTGAGACCACTCCCCCTTCGCGGTCGTCTGGACTTGGACCTGGCAAATTTTCGCCCCCCTCCTCATGGGACAGACTTCGGCCAAGTTCGCCGGCAAAACCTACCCCGCCTTCACCGCTGACAAGGGAGGCCGATGATGAGCGGTGGTGGTGCTGATCATATCCCACTGGTGAGGGCATTACAAACTCTGTCGGATCGAGTATATTGGCTCGCACACCAGGGTCATGGTCGATGGCTGTGATTGTAGACCTCGGCGTAACTGCCCCGTCCTCTTGACTGTCATCCTCGACATCTTGGGCATCCGCTTCAATTCGACTGTCTAAGCTCACAACATCGCTTGTTCGGGCCCCTCGAAAACGTATCGTTTCGTCCGGCGCAGTGTACGGCGGTGGAGCATCAGCGGTAATTCGTGAACCATCCCGGCTGATCCGAAAATACTGTCCGCCTACATTGATGTCGATGCTGCGAGCGTCTTCTTGCAAAGTCGTTGTGGTGAACTTAGATTGGGTAGA